GGGCAGCGGCGGGTGGGACTTGCTCCCTCTTGGGTTATTTTGCAGTGCGAGACTGTTCTGGGGAAGGGGGGTGGGTTTTAAGACTCAGCTTAAGCCTCGTTTCCAGCGGCTTGGCGAGGCGGAGGAGCAGAGGGGCCCCGGCAGGAGAAGAGGTAAAGAGAGGAGCCCCGGGCCGGCAGCCGGGGAGCGCCCCCTTCCCCGCGGGTGGGATCGGCGGCGGAGCACCCCGCAGCGTGGAGCCGGAGGAATCTCTAAACTCGGTTGCAGGGGAAGGCCGCGATGGTGAGTGCGATGGGGGGCAAAGGCAGCCCTGGGGAATCCCGATTTGCTGCTCCAGCCCCTCTGGAGGCAGAAGTGACCCCGAGGGCTTCTGCCCAGCCGGCGGGCAGGAGGGGCTCTGCTCGCTGCTGGCTCTGCAGTTGTGAATCTCTCGGTGGTTCCTGGCGTTTCAGGTGCCATTTGCCAAACAGTGTGGGCAGGAGGGGCGGAGGGTTTTGCTGTTGCTTATGGGATGCTCTGGAGAAACCTGCCCCTGGCTTTACCGTGTTTTGAGAAGGTCCAAGCCAGGCCTGCTTCATTTTCTAATGAGAGAATTTGTCTTTTTCCATAGGCTGCAAAACCCCAGAGAGGTTTAAGAGGTTCGTAGCCTGGCATGCGTTCCTTTTGCTGTCCGTAGGTGCTTTGTTCTGCTGGGAACATGGGGGACGGAGAAGGGGACAGCGGGATCGGGTGGGGGTCCTGTCTATGGCGATGCTTCATGGTCCTTGCCTGAAAGATGCAGCTGAGTGCCTCATCTCATTCTCAAACCAGACATACTCACCTGCCTCTTCCAGCGAGTGGGTTTGCTTATCGAGGTCCTACAGTCCTTTCCTGATGGCTTTCCCCAGTCCAGGGCAGAATATCTGCCTTGATTTCATTTCTTCGCCTCATCCCCCGGTGCTTGTTTGGGGGCCTCTTGCAGCCCTTGATAATGAAGCAGCGCTTTTGGGGTTGCCCAGGGACTCTGAGACACTGTGGGGTGAGAGCTCCCAGGTGAAGGGCTGCTTGTGGCCAGTGACTGAATAGGAAGCCGCTGGCTCCTTGATAAAGAGATCTCCTTTCTGGCTAAGTGAAGAAAAATCTTTGATCCACAAAATACTGGGTCAAGTCCTGGCAGTTCTCTCTAGGAAGGCCTTACACGGGTGGTGCTTGAGACCAAACCTGTGTGCTTGGGGGATTTCAAAAGAGCAAACCAATTGGGAGCTTTTCTGCACCTGCATGGTGAGCTCACCTGCCTCAACACTTTAATTTGTCTGGTTTCAGAGTCTGTCGATGACGTGCTTGGTGACCTCCTGGGATTCGACGGTAAAAGGAACCTTCTTTGCAGCGGAAAGGGCAGTGTCCTTGTCCTCTTACTCTGCTCTTGGGAGTAGGAGGTGCTGGTGCAGCAGCCAGTGATCTCTAAGGGGCCTCCATCTGTGAGCGGGGAGAAAGCAGCAAGCAGGGTTTCCCAGAGTCAGAGGCCATTGAAGAGACTGGACGTCAGCTTGGGGAGCCAAGTGAAGTTCATCTCTGATTAAAAGCCTCTGTGGCCTGTGGGGAGACAACAAATCCCCCTTTGGCGTGCCTAGGTCAGGAATATGCCCTTGTTCATCATCCTCACGTCTCCCTGTCTTGTTTCCAGATGAAAGTCCTGTTAATTCTGTGAGAACTTCCCGCCTGGCCAGGGGCAGCAGTGGGAGAGCCCAGGGCACCAGCTTGCAGGCCAGCCAGAAGTGAGTGCCTTTCAGTCACAGCCTCTCACTCTTGGAGATCTCTCTGTGCTCCCCAAGTCTTTGTGACCTGCCCCGTCTTTGGCTTCTCCCCCTCGCTCCCTGCCCTGACAGCGATACCCCAGGAAGGCGAGTTACCGGTGATGCCTTTGGGAACTGGGAGCCCAGAGCCTGAAGCTTTCCAGCAAGAGCTGGAACATCTTCTGTACCTCTGCCTTAGGAGAGTTGCTTGCTTATCTACAGCACTCCCATCTTCTATGCCGGGGCTATTTTCACCTCCTTTTCTGTCGCCCCACGTGGCTGCCGCGGTGTGCCCCTGCAGTCCCCTCCCCCTGCCACCACCTGGCCTGGCTGTCCCCAGTGTGCCCTGGCCCAGCTCACGGGAGCTGCTGCTGACCCTGGGGCTTGTGTCGCAGGTCCTTTGTAGAGGACGATTTCTTCAGCAGATTCCCTGCAGAGGATGTGGAAGCTGCAGAGGTGAGCCTGAATTTTGGGAGAGAGACTGGATATCCCGAGGGCTGGGACTGAGGGGGACCAGGCTTGCCCCTGGTGTCAGCCCAGCCAAGTCAGCAGTGGGATATCGGGGGGAACCATGAGGTCTGGCTGAAGAGGTGACCCCTCTCTGGCATGGCTGGGGGGGAGCTGGGCCAGGGGAGCGGGTGGATGGTGGGAGAAGGGCTTGCAGGTGCCCTGGGTGAGCTGGAGCAAAGCCAGGGGGTTCGTTGTGCTGCAGCCCAGCCCTGCTGGGTGTCTTCTGGGGAAGCGTAACAGGAAAGAACCTCACCCGAAGCACCTGCCTGGGTGTTCCTGACACTTCTCCCAGAGGCAGTAGGATCTCAGCAAAGGAATCAAGGCACAGAGGGTTTCCAGTGAGGGACTGGGCATGTATCCTCCCATTCCAAAAAATGAGGAAAACCAGGGGCTGGAGTATGGAAGCAAGGGGTGAGGAGTTTCCCAAGTCTGCTTGTCTCTGATCTCTGCCCTCCTCGGCACGCAGGGATCCAGTGCCTCCAGCGGAGAGCCCCAAGCTCTGCTGCAGACCCTGAAGGTCAGTGCAGAAATACCCTTCACCTGAACCCCGTGTGGGCTGCAGCCATGGCCCCCAGCACCAACTTCTGAAGGGAGAATCAGTGCTGAGGCAGGAGTAGCACTTGCCCTGCTCCTGTCATCATCCTGTTGCTTTCCAGGACATGGACAACCTGGAAGCTGATCTGCTGGGAATATCAACACCTGGTTCTCGGCCAGGGAAGCCAGCCATGAAAGGTCCTGGGAAATGTGACTCCTCAGGAGAAGCAGTGAAAACTGCAGGGAAGCTGCTAGCTCCTGGGAAAGGTAAAAGAGATTCTGCTCTTCTTGTCATATCCTGATTCCAAATGAGCAAGGTGTATTTTCTGCTGCAATAGGGAATGAAAAGTGGATTTGTTCCCTAAAATCTTTTTTCCTGGTCCTTTTTGGGGGTGTCCCAGCCACAGAGTGTCATTCTGGCCATGTGTTGTCCCTTGGTTGATCCCTTGTCGTGCTGTGATAACATCACTGCCATAGGCTGCTGCCTCCCACCAAACCCCACTTGGCTGTTGTCTGGTGCAGATCAAAGACCAGGGATCTGCCTGGTCTGTGTGGAAGGAGAGCCAGGGGGTTGCATTTAAGATATGCCTGTCCCCAACCTGTCCTGCTCTTCCCCAAGCCCTTTTCTTCTTCTCTGTCTGCAAGGAGGCCCCTCCAGAGAGATTCTCACCCCACAGGGCCGTGAGGGGACTGTGTCCCACAGGATATGCTTTTAGGGAGCTGCCACCAGAAAAGTGACCTTCAGCCAGGGTGGGAAGGGGACATCTCCGAAGTACCTTGTCTGTGAGAGCTGTGACCTCTCTTTCTAGGAGAGTCTGGACCTCCGATGGAGAAGAAGCCACTGTCATCCTTCCCTGCTTCCCAACAGTACAAGAAATTTAACTTGGAAGGTAAGATGTTGCTTCCCTTCAGCACATTGATGTGTGGGGCAGCTGAGGACTCTGTCCTTGCTCTTTGCCCGTAGCTTGCCTCTTCTGTCACCCAAAGGCTCAGCTGGTTAATGACATAGAGCATCCTTCACCCCTGCGATGCCTGTGCAAACCTCATCCCTTAGAGGTGACCAAAGGAAAAAAAACAAAGACTGCTTAATGTTGGAGGCTCTCCCCAGGGTGGGGCTGGGAGAGGATTCCTGAGGGCATTTGCTTTTTCAGCCATGCTTTGGTTTTTAATGCCTGTCTGTAGCACTTGGAAACCCTTGTATCGGAGAGGGGGGGGATTCTGTCCCCCTTCCAAAGAGGCAGGCTGTTTTCCTGGCACAGCTGAGATGTGGTTGTCAGAGCCTGTGCTTTAATCGAGGTCAGCATCTGTTCAAACCACTAATTGGCTTTAGGTGATTTAGGTGGGCTTTCTCCTCCCCTTTGTCATTCCCTAAAGAGTGGTCAAGAGTTACAGCACCCCAGTTTCGAGATACTCAAGGGTATCCCAGGTGCAGAATCTGCGTTCTTGGCTTTGGGCAGAGATGATCTCCTGTCCCCATGTGCACATGGTTTGCCTTAGCACAGAACCGTTGTTTTAAATAACCTTGGTTTTGTTTGTTTTTACTGTTATTACTCTCCTTTTCTGCCCCTACGGGGTAATTCCCAGATTTAGATGTTCCTTTGTCAGGGCTTTTGTCCGATGAGGAGCAGGATGCTCCCAAGAAGCCATCTCCAACAGGCACTAAAAGCATCTCTGGGAAAAAAACAGAACAGAGCAAAGAGAAAGGTAAGCAGGGTTGCTTGATGCATCCTTTTTGTATTAAATGAATCAGCAGCCTGGATGAGTTTGTGTGATGCCCAAATGTTAAATGAAAGCCAGCTAGTGGCATCTCTTGTTAACCAGTACAGCCCTTTAGAGTGCAACTTGGTAGTGGGGTTACAGCTGGTAACAGCTCCCTGAGTGCTCAATGTTTCCAGTGTGCTACAGGTTACAGAACTGACCTTTCCTTTCTGGGAATTCTTTCTGTGAGTCTCAGATCTTCCCTTGTACCTCATTCAGCCTGTTCTGCATGCTGCCAGATGAGAACCAGTGTTCTGGGTCAGGATTTGGGGGGCTGAGGGCATCACTGGTCCACGCCAAAGCACAGTTGCACCTCTGGGTGGGATCCAGCTGCAGTGTGACCATGTTACAGGCACCTGTCTCTCTTGTTGCTGCAGCAGGGATGCCAGTGGGTCTGGTAGTCCCCTCACACCTCCTTTCACCCTGATAAATCCACTCTGGACATGAGTAGCAGCTAGTGGGTTGGGGAAAGGACTAAGGTGCGTTGGTGGACCAGGGACTTTGGGCGAAGATGGGGAGGAATTATCTGAGTGGAAATTTGCAAAGCTGAAGAAATTGCTGGTGTCTGCCAGAGTTGGAAACCCCAGTGTCAGTGACACCCAGCAATGTCCCATCAGTGGCCACGGACCAGGCAGTAGCATGTTGCCACTTTGTCAGTTGCTATGAGATTTGGTCACTGAAAATGGCTATTAAAAAATTACTCTCTAAATGGTCCTGAGAGATAAGAGCAGGCAGGGCTGCTCTGATCTCTTGTTGAAAAGAAAAATTAAAAAAAGAGACAAGACCAGCTCAAACGTCCTGCCATGTGTGATCCCACCCACAGAGCCACCCCCAGCCCAGATGCCCCTGCACACTGTGGCCCCAGTCCAGAGCAGGAAGGAGCTCATGTTTGAAGATGATGGTGACGACCTGATGGCTGCACTGGGACTTGGCAGTGGCCCAGGAAGCGATGAAAAGCAGGGCAAGAAGGCAGAAGAGTAAGGGCAGTGAAGGGGCGATGGGAGTAAAGGAGGGGATGGCTTGTGTCTTGAGATGGTGCCACCATGGTGGGTGGGGGATGCTGAGCTTCTGCCTGTGGGTCCTAGAAAGGGGCAAGAGCAGCCTTGTTTCCCAGAGAAGAGCCAGGCTGCAAGGCTGTGTGAGGAGGAACAGCCCTGCCTCTGAGAGAAACCCATCTGCCGCTGTGTCCCCAGCAGGGAGGAGGTCCGGCCAGCCCGCGCTAAGCTGGACGAGTTGCTGGGACGAGGCTCTGTGGCCAGAATCCTGGAAGAGCCAGGCCTGGGAGAGTGCCAGGAGTTCAAACTGGAGAAGAAGTACCAAAAGCAGCCGGGTGAGCACGGCCAGGGCCACTGGGAAGGGCTGCAGAGGTGGCAGCGTTGGCCTGGGAGAGCAAGATTGATTTCTACTGCCCTTGCAGGGGAAATGCCTTTTGTGCCCTCACAGCAGCCTGGCAGCATTTGCACAGGAGCTGTAACTTTGGTTCCCTCTGGCTGTGGGTTGATTCCCACCAAGTTTTTTTCCCAGCCACCCTGAGGAGGCCTCTCGCTCACGATTTCTGGGCAAGAGGTTTCCAGTGGTGTTTTCCCAGAGGCAGCACTGTCAGTGGGAATTTCAGGGGGGGAGGAGCAGGAGGGCTGGTGTCTTTGCAGCCGGCTGCTCCTAGGGGTGCTGACTCAAGGCCGCTTGTCTGAACAGACAAGGAAGAGGGTCGGAACAAGTTTGATTTTGTCTTTGGAGCTTACCAGCCCTCAGTGGCCTCCACAGCCAAGGGCCAGCCGGCGAGGAGGCAGCCTGTGAGGTATTGTGCTCTCTGTGTGTCCGTAGCTCCAGCCACTGGCCATGCTGCCCCCGCAGTGGAGCAGGCAGGGTTCCCAGTGTCCCCTCATGGGCTGGGTCCTGCCGGTGTCCCTTCGTGGGCAGGGTCACACCAGTGTCCCCTCGCGGGCAGGGATGCGACTGCTTCTCCTCACAGCAGGTTTTCCGCTGAGAACAGCAGCGAACCAAAAGCAGAGCTCCACTCCAAAGCTTCTCCTTCAGCCAGCCAGAGCCCTGTGCGGGGCTGCAGGGCTGGAGGTGACTGGCTGGGCTTGAAAGATGAAGATTTTATGGATTTGGAGCTGTCGTCTCCAGCAAAGGCCGGTCCTGCAGGGAGCTCCCCCAGCCCTGCCGCAGCTGGGCGGCCCGGCCCTGCCAGACAGCTCCCGGCTGCAGAGGAGGCAGCAGCTAAACCTGACGCGGTGGAGGAGGAGGACTGGCTGAGTGCTGCCTTATCTCGCAAAAAAGCCCAAGCGAAGGCGAAGGCCCAGGAGGGGAATGCTAAGGCCTCGGAGGCCCCAGGCGAAGGGCTGAATCCCTGCTCTTCTGTCAGGTAAAGGCATGGTTGATGGCCGCAGTGCTCCCGTCTGCTCCACGTGTGGCTGCTCCAGCAGGAGCTGTCAGAAACCCTAGGCTCCAATCTGAGAAATTAATTTTAAGCACTGTCTTGTCTCAGATTGGGGTAAGAATGCAGGGCTTTGTCCCCCTGATCCAGCCCACAGTCCCGTCACACCTCTGGGCTCTCCTTCCAGCTGTAGCCATCTTGGGATGGCACACAGTGCCGTGGGTCCCGTGGAGCTGTCTGGATCAGCACAGTCCCATGAGCTCCTCCTCCCTGTGCTTCTCGCTTACATAAACAAAGAGGCCTAAGGAAACAGTTGGAGAGTCAGCAGTCCTTGAGAAACAAATGAAGCAAAACACCAGCAAAGCTTTGAAACAATCAAAGCAGAGCAGAAGCAAAGCTGTCATACATCACCACAGTTTTAGTCTCAATAATTGTCAGAAATTCATTTGAGCCCTTTCATTCCCTTTCATTTTCATTCCCCTTTCTTCCTCCTAGTTGAGGCAAACCACCTCCTCCAGCTGAGTTGACACGGACCCAGGTCCAGACTTGTGCTACTGAAGGGGACTGGGAAGCAAATTGCAGACAGAGCCCTGTGGCAGGGGCAGGGCTGTGTTAGCTGGGGCTGCTGCTGCCCAGGGGAAAGGTGTGGATGCAGCAAGGTGAAAGAGCAGTGATGGAGGTTTTGAGGTGTCTTTGCTTCCTCTGCAGCCAAAAGGCTGATTCCTGCTGCAGCTGAGTGGGACAGAGGCAGGAACTGGTGTTGGGGGAGAGGATCTTGTCTTTCCTCGCCTCCTTGGCTCTCCCACATAGGATGCTTTTTGCTTGCAGCCGGCCAGCAGCCTCCCCAGGAGCACGGCCTCAGGCAGCCACCATGCGGGCTGAGGCAGCGAGCACAGACAGCTCCAGGTAAGGCTGCCTTCGCCTTTCAGGCATCCTCCACGGGAGGGGTGTCCTGCAGAAAGCAGCTGCATGTGGGAGATGGGGCATGTGGGAGGGCTGGTAGCCAGCGGGGATCACAGTGCCCTGGCACCTCTGTAAGCGGGAGGGCAGGTGGCTCTGAAGTTTAAAAACTCCCTGAAATGCCGAGCAGGAGAATGTCTGCGCGCTTCTCCCTGAGCTGTGGCACTGCTGTGCATCACCCGTGTCTCTGTGCCCACGCAGGCCACCGCTCCCCTGGCTCAGCACCACGGAACAAGCCTCAGCTCACCCGTTGGAGGCAGCACAGGGGGATCCCTCCAGAGACGCCAGCGCCCCGGGTGCGTTTCGTGTGGTTGTACGGTTTGGGCAGCGGGAAGCAGAGGGTCCCCCTGGCCCTGCAAGAACAACCAGCCAAAAAAACAGGAGCTGCAGCATCACCCTTGTCCATGTGAACGCTGCGTGGGCTTTGCTCAGCCGTTGCTGGAGGGGGCTGCCAGGCTGCAGGATGCCACCATGCCAGTGTCGTGGTGCAGTGGGGGACACGGTGCTGTGGCACACTGAGCTCCACAGTGCTGCCTGTGGGGTTTCAGGGGGCTGCTGGGGACTTGCTCTCTCTGGGCAATGGGTGGGCCTAAGTTTGTGCTGCCCTTTTTCTCTCCCTCTTCCTTCCTGCTGCCACAACACTCGTCCCACTAGTGCTGTGTGCTGGCAGACCCCCTCCTGCCCTAGGCTGAGGCTGAGCACCGCTTCAGAGGCCACTGAAAGTGGCTGAGGGGATCCAGCCTCCTCCCTAGTTGATGGAGATGAAGGAGGAGCCATGCTTTGCCCCCAGACTTACTCTGCAGAGCAGAGTCCCCCACACTGTGCGTGGGGTGGGGTAGGGGTGCAGGTTTGGACAAGCCTGTCTGAGCCTCCATCCCCAGCTGCCAGAGCGGGGCAGGATCCTTCTCGTTCTGCTGAGGAGACCCAGGCCCTCGTCAGTCTGGGAGGGAATGGTTCCCCTTGGCCTGTCTGAATCACAGACTTGTTCCATTTTCAGTCCCCGCATCCTTGTTCCCAGGAGAGCAGGAGACACAGAGCCCTGCCCCGCTGGCTCAGGTAGGTGTGCTGGGCCTGTGCCCCCGAGAGGTGCAGTCGGGGTGGTGATCGTGAGCCCTCCCCTGCTAACTCACCATCATCCAGCTCTGCCCATGCTCCCTGGGCAGTAGGATGGCTATGCCCCACTTTTCACCCTTGGGAGCCTGTGTCCATGGAGGCAAAGGCTTTGGAGAGCCCCGAGATGCCACGAGTTGTATTTGTCAGGCCAAAGCATGTGTGTTGTGGCTGCTCTGTAGATCATTTGCATTGACAGTCCTGCATTGCCTGAGCAGTATTGACAGAGTTCCCCAGGCATCTCTCTATTCAATTAATGAGACATCAGAGCCTCCAGCTGATGAAGGACTTTTTCTTCAGCTGGTTTTCCCCAGTACGGTGGTGAAGATGCTCTGAGGTTGTTTCTAGACAACTGAAGGGGAATCAGAACCTGTGACAGGGAGGGCAGCTCTTGCTTGGTCTTCGAAGTCTCCATTTGTCATCGAGCTGGGCCTCCTGGCCTGGCCCTGGTGGCAGGACACACACTGTCTCCCAGAGGACTCACTGTCTTATCCTTGAGTCTGTCCCCAGAGAAGGAAGAGCCCAGCACACTTGTGTCTGGGGTAGGGGCTGCCGAGTGTCACCTGGGAGCAGCGTGGTTGGGCTGGAGATGGGTAGAGGAGGGACTGCAGGATTCTGGGGCTGGGTCGTCACTCCCAGGCTGGGAGGAGATGCTCTCCCCAGGGCTTTACCTCCCCGAGAGCATCGCTGTGTCTCTGCAGGTTAGCACAGCCAGGGCACAGCTGCCGGCGAGGCAACGTGCCTGCCTTTGGGGCCTGGTGGCCCCACCAGTTAAAGAATATTGCCAGACTGTGGGTATCTCTAGGTCGGCTTTATTAACAACTCAGAGTTGGGCCAGCACCTCAGGGAGTGGCAGTGGCTAACAAAAACTGCCTTCTATAGATATGATTCTACATAACATTATGCAGTACAAAACTCTGGTGTTTTCCCATGAACTCTCAGCTCATAATTCATCAGTTTCAAAAGTCCATTATATTCCACAGCTTCAGCAGATTCTCATCGGTCTGTTCCAATTCTTGCTTCAGTGTCAGGGTCATCGTTTGGGTCATCATCATCTTCCACTAGTTTTCATCTCACACAATTCTGAGAAAGACTTCAAGATGTTCTATTAAAAGCTTAGTAGAGCAAACAGTTTCTATATACTAGATTCTCTTAATCTGGCAAAACACCTGTGTTTAGCTAATCATCTGTTGTTAAAACTGTCTCTGTATGATGAGCTTGACTGGGTTTTAAACCAGCCTTGGGTTGGGACTGTACAAGAAGCAGGCTAGGAATACTTTTCAGGCCTGTTGATCAGTGTTCCAGTTGCCTTGGTGATACTACAAGATAGCTCAGTCCTGAACACATTTCACTAGGTCTTAACCTCTATTTCAGATATACCAGAGGTTATATTTAAAATTCTTCTACACCACCACAAAGCCCCTGATCCTGAAGGGCCTGGGTCTTCTCTCTCTGTCCCTGTAGGTAGAGTCCCCAGGCCTGGGCTTGCTGCATGAGAGGAGGCTGGGGGCTGCCGTGGCCCAGCCCCACGGGGATGTGACAGGCTGTCAGGCAGCGCTGCTCCGTGCCCAGGCCCGTGTGGTAGAGCTGGAGAGCCAGGTGAGCCCCATGGCCTGCTGGATGGGGGAGCAGAGGTGAGCCAGGGGCAGGAGCAGGGGCCACGCCTGCTCCCAATGGCATCGGGGGGACGGGGCAGAGAGGACGAAGCTGCCTGTCCAGAGAAGGCTGCAGCCAGCAAGTGATGCTGTGGGAGCTCTGTCCCCTGGGCAGCACAAGGAGTTTATCCTCGGGTGCCTGGCAGGTGCGGACACTGGAGCTGGTGCGGGCACAGGACAGAGACTTCCTGGAGAGACTCCGGCAGCGGCACCAGGAGGACCTGGATCTCCTCGAGAGCACCCACAGGTACCCACAGGCTGCCCTCCTCTGCCAGGGCCTTGCCTACAGCCCTGTCCTTCTCCCCGGGGTGGGGAGGAGCGCTGTGGTGCTGCCTGGGGTGGGCAGGCCCAGAGCCGTGTGGGTGTGGAGCTGGTGGGGGCAGAGAGGAGCCCAAGGGGGGGGTCTGCTCTCACCAACACCGTCCCGTGGGGGAGAAGCTGGTCCCACGGCGAGCACATCCCCAGCCAGGGCACTGTCAGGGCTCCGACTGCAGAGAGCCCGCATGTTTCCCCACACACCCAGCTCTGCCAACCAGCTCTGAGATCCCCACATGTGCTGTGGGTGGAGATGCCTGGCTATTGCCCTCAAAGTACCACTTCTTCCTGGCCGTGACCTCTTGGGCAGGAGCCAGGTGAAGGTGGTGGAGGAGACCTGCAGGCAGCAGTTGCAGAGGCTGCGGCAGGAGCAGGAGCAGCTGGTGGCTCAGCTCCTGGGGCAGAGGCAGGAGGCGGAGCAGGCACGGGCAGAGCTGCTGGCGCAGCACCAGCAGCACTTGGCAGCGCTGGAGCAGCGGAGCGTGCAGGAGCTGGAGCGGCTGCGAGAGCTGCAGAGGTGAGAGCAGCACGAGCGGCGCAGGTGTGGGGCTGGTGCTGCTGGTTGTGGCAGAGGAATTGGGAGCGGTTTGGGGACATGGTGAAAGTACTTTAATGAGCTAACAAGCACAAGGACAAGAGGGAATGGCCTCAAGCTGCACCAGAGCAGGGTCAGGCTGGCTCTGAGGAAGGATTTCTGTGCAGAAGGGGCTGTTGGGCGTTGGAATGGGCTGCCCAGGGCAGGGGGGGAGTCCCCATTCCTGGAGGGGTTGAAGAGTTGGGCTGAGCCAGCGCTGAGGGATCTGGGGGAGTTGGGAACAGTCAGGGTGAGGGTCATGGTTGGACTGGAGGAGCTTCAAGGGCTTTTCCAACCGAGATGATTCTGTGAAAGGAGAAAGGAGACTCCAGAAGCACTGGGTTGTGGGCAGTTGGGTGGCGCTTGGAATGGCGATTTGCTTTGCCGCTGGACAGAGGGAGATGTGGCGGGAGATGTCATTTCAGAGGGAATGCATTGTATTTTGAAAGGTGTTTTATCTCCCCCCAATCCCTCTTATCCAGGTCAGTGAGTCACTGACATCCACATAGTTGGGGTCAATGAGAAATCAGTTTTTGATGGAGAAGCCCATCACCCCCAGCTGTGGTTTGTGCCAAATGTGGATGCTTGTCAGTGGGATGCCCCAGGACAGACCCCCATGCCAGCTTAGCTCCTGGGACCTGGTTCCCAGGCCCTTGTCCAAGCCTCTTGCCCCCTGTGTGTCCCGAGGAGCCCTGGTTTGTAACAGCCTGTGGTGGGCTCCTTGCCCATGTCCTGCAGGGTGTCTGTGCAGGAGCTGCGCAGAGACCATGAGGAGCAGCTCCAGCGGCTGAAGCGGCTGAAGGACCAGGAGGTCGATGCAGTGACCAGCGCCACTTCGCACACCAGGTACCAATGGCCGGCGTCGTGTCCCCACGTTGGTTTCTGGCCACGGTGCTCCCTGTCCTACAGGGAACCAGCCTTGGACCGTAGCACTAGAGGCTATCCCCTCTCCCAGCCCCTGCCTCCAGGGCCGCTGAGCTCTGTTGATGCATGAATACTGCTCTGCTCTGCCCCAGAGAGGTTCGGGGCAGGGCTGCCTGGCCTTTCACAGAATCACTCAGGTTGGAAATGCCCCTCGGGATCATTGAGTCCAACCCTCAGCCCGACTCTACAAAGTTCTCCCCTACCCCGCATCACCCACAGCTCATCCAAACGGCCCTTAAACACCCCCAGGGATGGGGACTCCCCCCTCCCTGGGCAGCCTATTCCACTCTCTGACCACTCCTCCTGGGAAACATTTTTTCCTGATGCCCAGTCTGACCCTCCCCTGTTGCAGTTTCCAGCCGTTCCCTCTTGTTCTGTCACCAGTTCCCTGGGAGCAGAGCCCAGCCCCAGCCTCTCTGCAACGTCTTGTCAGGAGCTGCAGAGAGTGACGAGGTCTCCCCTCAGCCTCCTCCTCCTCACACTGAACACCCCCAGCTCCTTCCCTGGCTCCTCACAGGATTTATTCTCCAGCCCTTCCCCAGCCTCGTTGCTCTCCTCTGTACTCGCTCCAGTACCTTTGGCCCATCACATGCCCCCCTCTCCATCGCGTGTCCCCCCAGGGTGACCTCCCACTCGCTTCTCTCCGCAGGACTCTGAATAGCGTCATCGAGCGGATGGAGAAGTTCTCCAGCGACCTGTGTGACATCTTGCACAGGGTGGAGGCCACACACCACACCACCTCCCAGGAGCTGGCCATGGGGGCACAGAAGCAGGAGAAGCAGCTCAGGGGTATGTCTGCCATTCCTTGGCATTGAAATGGCCGTGGGATCCCCACCAGGGCTGGGGACACCCAGGAAACAGGGAGAAGTTGCTCCGAGTTGGCCAGAAGCTGGGAGCCAGGGCTGGCAGAGCCTTGCCTGCCTTGGTCACTGGGCATGTCAGGGTCTTTCTCAAATGGTGTTCTGGGGATGTGCAGAAGGTGATGAGCACAGATGGATGCAGTTTTTCTGTGAATCTGGTGTGGACAGAGCATGGCTTCCCTCTTCATGCTGCTCATGGCCCTGCTGCTGCCTCTCCCCAGTGCTCCAGGACAGCCTGTTGCAGCAGAAGAGGGAGGCGGAGGAGGAGCGGCGCCGATTCCAGGAGGTGGTGGCTAAACTGGAGGCCAGGCTAGGGGAGCAGACTCGGCTGCTGGAGCAGGTGAGCCCACCCTGTGCCCTCTGCCTGGCTCAGCCCTCCTGAGGTGCTTGGCCTGGAGCCTGCGAATGGCATCTGTCTGTCCTCTGTGTCGGAACCCAGGAGCGACAGAGAGTGTTGGCAGAGCACTCCAGAGTGGAATCACTGCAGCACTCGCTGGAGGAGGAGAGGCGAGTCCTGACCCAGCAGCTCTCCATGGAGCGAGCAGAGCTGGAGAGGGCGAAGGTGAGGTGGGGCAGTGTTTTGGTGGTTAAGGATACCAATTAAACTCGGACACCAGAGTGAAAAGAGGAGGCATATTTTACTGGTGATAATTAAACAGTGTAACAGAGTAATACAGAAAACATACAGTAAGAAAAGGCAGAATAATGCAGCTAAATCAACAAATAGGAAAATACAGGGTAATGCATCAAATCATCACTACATGATGAGGAGAACAGTGATTAAGAAAGATCCCTCACCCCTTGCACCCGTTACCGTCGTCCAGACCTGCAGTCCCCGGGCAGCCCCGGGTGCAGCAAGGATTTGAAGAACCTTTCCCTGCAAGTGGGAAATCCTACGCGGTGCATCCACCCGTAGCTGAGGCATCCAGTCGCTGTGAGTGGGTTCAGCCTTATATACCAAAAATCAGCAAGCCAGAAGAGCTGGCACCTTTGTTTTGAGTGGAAAATTTCTGGTTTCATTCTCCTGTTGAATTCTACCCAAAACCTGGCCAGGGCTCAGAGGGGGAAATCAAGGGAGGCCAAATACTTGAGTTCTCAGCCTAGAAAGGAAAGTTGGATACATTCTGTCAGCCTTTCATCCTCACTACTGATTTTATTCTAATCTGCATCTTTCACTGGTGAGTTTACATTCTTTGTTAATGACTACATGCTAAATTAGCAACTTCAGTTCAGAGCCTGTTGTTCAGCTTCAGTATTTCAACCCTTTTAGCACTTTTTACATCAGCAAAAGTGGGTTGTTATAACTTAGTACAGTGCCTACTAGCACAATGGTTTTCAGTTATCAAATAGACAGGATTCAACTATAGGTCAGCTCTGGCTTGGGCCTGTTGTCCAAGCCTTAGCACTCTCCAGGTGCTTTTCACACATTCTGTGAGTCCGAACAGGGCTCCGCTGCAGTGTGTGCTGGAGGAAAGAGTGGGTGCTGGGCTGCAGCATCCTTCCTCTGCCTCCGCAGTCCCACACCCAGTTGCACGGTGAATCGCCAGCAGAGCAGCCCTCTAGCACATGGGTGTGAGAGGCTGCTGTGTGCATGCACGGTGCTACAGCTTCTTGAGGAGCGTGGGGCCAGAGCTTTCCGTGCAGGGTTCACGCCAGGTGCTGGGGGCTTGAAGCAGCCTCTAGGTGTTGGCCGAGATTCAGTGGCAGAGATGGTTTTAAAGGAGAAAAATAGTCCAGCAAAAGGGACTTAGTGCTTTCTCCCTTCCACTCTGGCAATGCTCTCCAGAGCATCTTGCTGGAGGAGCAGAAGGTGCTGCAGAGGTGTGCAGGGGAGTGGCAGAAGCTGACATCTGAGTGGGCTGAATTTCACACCCAGCAGCCCCTGAGCAGGGAACAGGACACGGCCCGAGCACTGCCCGTGGAATCCCAGGGAGAGCCTGGCCCAGGTACCAGCAGAGCCCCTTCCCATGGCCTCCAGCACACTCTTGGCAGTCTGAGAGTGGGTCCTGCCTACAGGGGAGTTGTTCAAGGCGGAGACATTGCTCGGGGTGGTGAGAATTGGGCTGTTCCAGGAACAGCCTCCACCAGCTTGTTGTAGATGTTGGCTGCCTGTGAGGGCTTTGGGCAGCCAGAGCAGGTGCAGCCACCTCCGTTGTGAGTCTGGTGAGAGGAAATCCCCCTGGTGAGTTAAGGAAAAGCTGCCCGTGCCATGGATATGGGTGCAGAGCCAGTTGTGCTTTCCCCTGGGGCTGTCCAGAGGAGAGATGTGGCACAGGCAGTGCGGCAGAGCTGCATTTTTAAGGGCAACCAGAGTGGAAAATAACCCTTCAGTTTTCAGTTTTCATGTGTTTCCACTGCTGACAAAGTGCTGTACCCTGGCCATGTTGTAGGATGTTAAACATGGGGAGGGGCTCAGCCCTTTCCAGGGAAGGGGGGGTGTGTGTGTTTGTACAGTCCCAGCTCTGCCAGGCCCTGCTCCCCAAGGCTGGGGGCGTGAGGGTGCTGCTGGAGTACCTGTATTGCTCTGCACCCTGGACTGGCATACACAAGAAGCTCAACAGCGGCAGATCTTTCCCATCTCTTGGGAAGACACGAGAGTGTCCAGGATGGAGCAGGTCATACGTTGGTTTCCCTTGTGCCCATCCTAGGAGTGGGCAGAGGTGAAGATGCGGGTCCACACGCTGAGAGCCCGGGAGGAGCAACTGGCGAGGGAGAAAGAGCTGCTGGATGAGGCCTGGCAGGAGCTGAAGCTGGAGCAGAAGGTGGTGAATGGGGCTGCGCTGCGCGTCCGGCAGCAGGAGGAGAAGATGAAAAGTGTGACGGAGGTAAGCAGAGCATCTGCGCTGCCGTTCCCAGCTGCACACGGGCTGGCAGCAAAGCTGGGCTTTTACAGCCCCCCAGAGCAGGGACAGAAAGCCTGTCCTGGAAGGGGATGTCCAAAGGAGTCCTGCCCCAGGGCAGCAGGAGTCCCTGTCCCCAGCCTTCCCAGCCGCTCTGCCTTGCAGCTCTCCTCCCAGAAGTACGAGGAAGGGCAGCAAGCCCTGCGGGAGGCACAAAGAGTCGAGTCCCAGCACCAATCCAGGCTGCAGGCCCTGCAATCGCAGTTGGAGCAGCTCAGGCAGCAGGAAGAGCATCTGCATCAGGCAAATACCCCCTCGGCTTCCCTTCTGGGCCTGGGGCCACCATGCCAAGGGCTCGAACCTTTGCCAACAGCTTCTCTCTCTCCCTTTCTCCCCGGGACGGGGCAGGATCAGCTGAGCATGGCTCAGCAGAGGAGCCAACTTCAACAGCTGCGCCAGGAGCTGCCCAACAGCCCCACGATGCTGCGGACCGCAGGGTGGAACTCCAGTGCCCCTGCGAGTGGCTTCTCCAGCATGCTGAGTAAGGCTCTGTGCTTGCTGCTGGTGGGGAGGGATGTGCTGGGGGGAAGATGCACTTGTATTCCACTTCTCAGGAGGCTTGGGATGTTCCTGGGGGCTCTTTTAGTTCCCCTGTATATAAACCTCAGATGGGAGTTGGCCTCTTTGTCTTCTGAAAGAGCTCAGGGAAGCTCTGAGCCAGGGCAGTGACAGGAGAGGGCAGAGGGGCCAGGCAGGGAGAGGCCGGTGGGTTAAAGCCCGTTTGCACTGGGAGTGTGGGGAGGACCCTGCTGCTGGGACATGCAGACAGCACCCAAAGGGATGCTGTGTTGTCTCCATTTGCAGTACCTCTGACAGCGGCAGCACCACACAGTCGGGCTTCTTTTCCAGGCTTTCCACCTGCCATGGGGAGCCTGGGAGGTATGAGGGAACTCCTGGCCATGACCAGCTCTGCTGAACTCAGTGCCATGCTGGCGATGATGAGGTTCCGAGCCCTGCAGGTGAGGTGGTGGGAGACTGGGGTGGGAAGGGGCTTCAGACCCTCTGGGTTGGAACAGGGCTGGGTGAAGCCTGATTTGAGCCTGATAGCCACAGTCTGGGGAGTCTCCTAAGATCATTACTGAGCTGTGGGGCTGGGCGAGCTTGTAGAATCCCCAGGCACCTAGAGGAGTGATGCCAGAAGCAAGGACGGGTGGATCCTCACAGCTGGTCTCAGGCTGGTGGATAACGTCCTCCATGGGGTTGCCCTTGTTCTCGCCCTGTCCCTGGGTGGGAGAAGCCAGCTCTGCTGGCCTCTGGCTTCACAATGTCCCCATCCTCTCCCATCGGCCCCCCGATTCCCTGCTGGGTCCTTCCCCAGGCAGGGCTGCTCTTTGAGGCTTCTGCTGTGGGTCTTGCTTGGAGTGTGACGTTGTGGGATTTGGGGGGGGATCCCCCACACCCCAGGGAGTACTGCAGATGGGTACCAGCCCACTGCTCACTGCAGGAAGGAGGGTTTAGGATGCTTCCCTCCCTCATGAGTGACACCTGGGACTGTGAGCCCCCTTCTGTGGCACTCTCTGATACCTCTTCCATCCATCCCTTTCTTCTCAGGACCACGCTTACTTAGAGAATGAGGAGTTCTTCCTGGAGTCCCTGAAGAAAGCGTCCTACAATGCTGCTTCTCTGCCAGGCTGAAGGGGCGGCGTCCCCATGCAGTGCCCAGGGGATGGCTGCTCAATAAACACCCCTTCACATGATCACCAGAGTTACTGTACTTATTCAGGCCTGGGTGCTCAGTGGACTTTTCCACAAATCAAGCACACCAAGAGCAGTTTTTTGTGCTTCTTACATACACAAAAATCAGAGGCTTTTCCAAATACACCTATCAGATACTGATTGGTTAGTGATTAACATACAATTAGAATACAGCTTACGTCATGCTTCTACTACTACACATGCTTAGGGAAAGGGTCTCAACCTGGGCAGCAATCTTTCTGACCTCCATGTGTCTGTGGTTTTTAGTATTATAATGAGGGTAGTTCACTTACAGGACACTCAAACGTTAGTTTCATTGCCGTGTTAACTTGTTCACTTTGCCAGGTTAGTTTCATTGCCGTGTTAACTTGTTCACTTTGCCAGGTTGTCCAATATTTCAACCTCAGCACAATCTCAGACCTCTTTGTGTTCCAGGGTTTAATACAGAAAAATGGCAACTAATACCCCATATAATCCACAAACAAATGGTCAAGTAGAAAAAATGAACCATTTAATTAAATTTCAAATAGTAAAACTAGGCCAGAAAGCTGGATTTGCCTGGCCCCTATCATTGCCCTTAGGACTTCTGAGGATCAGAAACAAACCCAGAACTAAGGAGGGATTAAGCCCTTTTGAAAGAGTGTATGGGAGACCCTATATGATGCAGAGAGGAACATCAACACAGGTTGGAGATGAAATATTAACAGATAATATTATTAGTCTACAAAAGCAGCTGCAGGAAATAGAGAAACTATTCCTAGGGACCCAGGGCTTGAGATTTGGACAGGCTTGTACACAACATTAAACCTGGTGATTATGTATATGTCAGATCTTTTTCAGATTCACATCTGGAACCAAAGTGGGAAGGTCTGTTTCAGGTGCTCCTAACTTCACATCCAGCCATCAAAATTAAAGAATGAGCATCGTGGATACATGACACTCAAGTTAAAGGAGCCCCGAAACAGCAATGGGTATCAAAATCGTCTGGACCTCTGAGGCTCTGAATCCAACGAAAGGATGAACATTGATTATCAACACGATTGAACTGTGGGAAGGATTGTAAGTGCATGGGACTCTAACACACATTATGCATTAATACAGAACCCTAATTCTAGGTAAGATCAGTTGTGGGATATGTACTCAAATACCTGAACATGGAGGGAAAGGAGCCTCTCTAATTGGCATACTAATATAGAGTTAGACAAAACAGAGAGAGTGGCAAAGACTTTACCAAATCCCTCCAAAGGAACAACATATTCTAGCAAAAGAATTTGCTTAGGGAAAATGGGGGAATTGATACAGGGAAATGATCACCTGCTGTGCAACTTACTTAGAGCAAATTATAGTGATTTCTGAATATTGTTTAATAATCCTGCTTGTCCTGAATCTTCTGTGGAGATTTACCAAGGACCACTGTGTTCATCAAAACAAAGAAGTTTTCTGTGGAAACTTACCAAGAACTACTGTGTTCGGCAAAAATAACAGACATGTCCTTGGGAAGCAGATGGGTTCTAACAAGCTGAGTCTTTATAGAGTAGAGATAGCCATGTAGAAACTAGTATGCTAGTGCTTTTAGAGTAGAGGGAGTAAACCAGCTGGGACCACTCTTGTTCAAGAAATCATTTAGGAGAATCTGCACATGCTCTAAGGAATGGGGTGGAAAAGTACAAGGTGAGGAGGACTGTGAGCCTTCCTCCCAAAGCCCCCCAGAGATGCCCACTTGGAGACAATGGGCAGGCACAAAGAGAACACAAACTGTTGACACCAGCCTCTAGAACTAAGCCAGCGTCACTCATGCATATGCATGTTTGTGTTATGTAACCCAGTGAATATGTATGTCCACACACAAAGTTTCTGGTAAAATCTGCTGTTGGGGTGCAAGCTTTGTGGGGAAAACCCCTTGCACCCCAGCACCAAAATAAACATCCCTGCAGTGTAACTCTCTCTGAGTGATAGAGTCTGTTTCCGAGCATCATCCAGGAGAGAGATGCAGTCATGGGCTGGCCAGCAGCTCCTGCCTCGCTGCGTCCTGTCAGGGTGCAAACACGTTCACGTTGCTGACGGCTCCTTCAGTTCCTGCTGGTTCAGCTTTTAGTCACCCCAGCAAACAAGCTTTGCCGCTGGCCTGTCTTTTTAGGATCTCCTTCAGTTGTTGTCCTCTCTTCCCCTCTTCTTCGAGATACACAACTTCCAGATAAAAGCATTTGTTTAACAGAGCTGAAACAAGATTGAACTGAATTGTTAGGAAGTAGATGCCGTGTGCCTCGGGAGCTGGCTGGAAACTCCGTGCACGGATCAGAAAGCAGCATAAAAAGAGAGGACAAAGGACAGCTGCCAGAATTGTTCTCTATCGCACTGCAGAGAAAAGGGGCACATACAAACAGTTACCCAGGGAATTACAGCCCAACAAAAGCCCGTCCTGCTCCACGGCCAGAGGCCACCACTGCCTGTTCCAGATTCATTTTAGCACGAGAACAGGCGCAGGCTGCCCCTTCAGCCTGCAAAAAGCATCGCCATGGCCAGAGATACCTCCTATACTGTTAACAGAAATAATTATTTTATTTCTCTCTGTACCTATCATACATATGTAGATGATAATTCATTTTTATCAATGTAGCTACACATAAGTTACATGTAAGTTATTTGCAGAACGTTTTTTCTATGGTCAGTGAGTGCTGTTATATCCCGTGAAGGAAACCTTAAAATAAGAGTGGTCCTTTAAAGCACTCTAATTATCAAGCAGTCAATTATGGAATCAAAGTCAGTTTTCATGCTGCCAGGAGATTGGTTTTTAGACAGGACCCACACTTGGCACCTGTTTAGAAGGGAAATGCAGCTCTCTTAGCTTAAGGTTCTTCTCCCGACACAAAACCCACCCCTCCGTGCTCTCTGCAATCCTCCCTATGGAGGGGCACACCCATGGCTGCAAAAGCAGCCCCCTGCCTCCCCAGCGGCACGCCCCAGTCCCCTGTGCCCCTTCTCTGTGCACTGTGGGTTCTCCCCACATTCTGCCTCCAATCGCTCTGATCCTAAATATCAACAACGACTGTGCTCCCCTCTGCTGGCACTCGCACCCTCCCCTTTTCCCTGGCCCTGCCCAGGTGTCCCCCGCTCCCTTCCTCTTCACCCCTACCCCAGTCCGCTCTCTTCCCCTCTGCAGGGTTTTGCTCCCATCTGTTCCTGCCCCTCTCTGCTCAGACCCTGGAGCACTGCGGCCAGCTCGGGGG